TTGTATGATATCGACTTGTATGTTTTTATATGACTTACAGTGGGATAACTGCATGATTTGAGTTTTACAAATTTATAGTAAAATCATGTACGTAATGTCTAAAAAGTTGTTTTGTGCTCTACGCGGTCAACAGCTACAAAAAATGTAGCAATTTTTCTACAATTACATAGGTGTCTGATAAATTAACATTTGCTTTTCCACGATACAATGGCTTGTAAAATTTTTACACGCTTTTTATGTCTTTTCAGCCCAAGTGAAAATAATGTGTAAAATTATTACGTAAAAAAAATCCATCCAGTTTTTCTGTTACGTAAGTATTTTACAGTATAAAAACGGAAAAATTGCAATAGTTGTAACATTTTTTAAAATACATTCAACATAATAAGTCACAGTATATTTCGTAAAAAATGAAGACTGTCGCTTTTCTGCTTGTTGCAGTTAGTCAATTTCTGATGAGTATAAGAAAACAAATTCTTTTTGTATGAAACCTGTATTTTAAAAATTTGTAGATGGGCGCGCGTTTCACAAAAATTGAAATATCACTTAGGATATCTCACATTACAATTTTTCACTGTACAAAAACTGAAAAAAGACACAATTGGTTTTTTTTCCCTACCCGTACACCTCGCCGTAAACAACTTCAGTAATTTTCATGGGCACCCTCTACCTTTTTACTAAACTTGCTTTAACAAAGCTTCATCTTTTTAAGGACGATTTTTCGTTGTCACTGCTGGTTTAATCTTGTTCTCCTGTCTCTCTTACTATCGTTCCTCGCGCTCACTCTATTGGTATCATTTTTATTGTTTGTTCTAACTATTCAGTGCTCTCACTTCGACAGAGAACAAATCTCGTTCGCCATTTAAATCTGCAACGCACGTGGATTGTAAAAAGTCCTAATCTAAAAAAAATTTACCTCAATCATCCAATTCTAAAATCATGTAATATTCACAAATTCCCTTCAATAACTTTGTCGCGGGGTTTTATCTCGCGCTTTATTTATTCTGTTCACTAGTTTAAAAATCGTAAACGGGTCGTAAATGTTAAATATTCAGAAGCCTTCAAGCTAGTGCGAACAAGCCCGTTCATTCTTAACCCAACTAAGTCCTTACTCGGTTCTCATATTGTGTTGAACTAATCAATAAAATACATGATGAAATATTTTTGTTTTTGTTTAGATTTTTTTGTCATGTCATGTGGTATCATGTCAACCTGAAAATAAAAAATTAAAAGAGTGCTTGAAAGAGTTTGGAATAACGGGTGGTAAACAGTATAATATACTCTAATAGTCTTATTATTTCATAATTTAGTTGATATTCTTAGAATAATTTTTTTTCTCTACACATTTAACAGTGAAAGAGACACCTAGTATGGAAGATCCAAAATATAAATGCTTAGTCACCTGCATGTTCAAGTTAATGAAAATAGTATGTGTTAAGAACTATTATTTTGCAAAAATGAATTCGTTAAGGTATATATTTGTAGAACTGAACCCACTCATAATAATTATTTCCTATAGATTGCCAATGACAAAGTAAATGTAATGAAAGTGATTGAATTATACGAGAAAGAAAAAAGAATCAAGTTAGATGATACTCAGAAAGAGGCTATAAAAAGTTGTAGTGAAGGAGGTAAATATTAAAAATGAAAGATGAAATCTTATAACCCTAATTCTGTACGTATTTTCTGACATCTGTATTCGAATATAAGCATTTTAAGAATTTTTTTACACTTTTCACAAAAGTAACGATTATCATTTTTGTCACGATGTACAAACGTCTTTGATGATTTTTACAATATATTTGCTCCAAATTTTCTGTTGCAACGAGCAAAAAATCTGGCTGTGACAAGGGTGTAGCTGTAATAAATTGCATGAAGGATACAAAAAATTCCTAAGAAAAGAGGGAAGGATGAAAATAAAGAACAGTATTTCTTGTATAATAAGATACCATACTGTGAAATATACTTGAATCCAGTAATACAGCACTGACAAATTGCTGTTATGTGAATAATAGTTCTCCAAAAACCTTCTTTCTTTTAATACTAGTGCGTACATTGTGTATAATGGTAATTAAAGGGGCATAAAATTACAAAATGTGGACATATATAACAATTGTATTTCGATTTTATACTAACTTAGAACACATATATATTTGTCCAGCTATGTAGTTCAAAAGGTTAAAAAAATAAAATCATATTACTTTAGACAATGTAAATAATTATACAATACAGCTATAGTTTAGCACATCCAATATTTTAAAAAATCTCGCCAAACAAACCACACGATTTCTCTTAACCAATTACGAAACTATTATTAAGATGTGATTTTCGATTTATTCGGACTTTAAAATATAAAAATCATTACAATAAATTTAAAAGATGTATTTCTTGTTTTCGCGAAGTTGTCAAAGAATGCCAATTCATAACCAATGATACTTTTTTTACTCAGAAATAATGCATTCAACCATACATATATACAGCAAGTGAAGAATGCAACTGTCAAGTATTATAGTCACTATGATACATGACAGTTGTGTTCTTTACTTGCTTCATAATATTTTTGTTAATTTATATTTCACCTATAATAGCTTGATAAAAATTATAGGTACAGTCACTATTTTGTCAATTCATCACACAAATCCACTTGGCGTAGTCATCGCAGTTGTAGCATGAAAAACTAGGTCTACTACTAGACATTTTTATCAGTTGCATCAATTTTAAGATAGATATTTTTTTTATAACAGTCACGGTTTACAACACAGTACTTATATTTATTTTAATCAATCAAGAAAGAAGTGTGGTAATCAGTAAAATAAAGTTTGAAAGAAAACAGATATTACAAATGTTGGGAATCGTTGAATGTTGACTTGGCTTTTTGTCTCACTTTTTATTGTTGACCCCTACTGAAATTTTACTTAAACAACAGTTCTTTTATCATACCTTAAGAATAAATATTAAATTGTTCAAACAATTCAAATATATGATTAGGATGGTGAGATTCAAATGTAATGTGTGATGTATGTATATATTGAATGAAGAATCTGAAGCTAACCTTAATCCATTGCTCAAAAAACAATGTCCTACACCTAGTATTGTTAAAAATTAATGCCATGGTAAAAGTCAGCAGAACTTCTAACGTAACTGTGGGAGTACAGACTCTTGCTTGGGAGTCTTATCAATAAATAAGAGACACAAGCAACAATTTAATACAAGCATGATGTAGGAAATTCCAGAAGTACTAAAGTAATACAGTTCGGAGGAATTTCGGAGCTTCACACCCGAAAAGGTTTGAAGCTTTATACCCTTCTATAGCAAAAAGCTTATAAAGTTGTGTCTTGTTCGACAGACCGACTATTGTTTACTTTTATCTAACTCTCTTNTGCTATTAATTTTACCACTGAAGCCATGGCGAACATTGGTCTTTTTTGCCTTAATAAGTTATATCTTAGCTATACCACCGAAATATATTCCAGGGGTGTTTTCAGTTACAGGTTATATACTCTTGCTCTCAACGGAACAGTGAATAGTGCAAGTTAAATACAAAACTACACTACGCACGTGCAAGCAAAGATAAAAGGTATTTGTTAAAATAGTGACAACCACAAACCAGTGCTATCAGGGTAAAAGGGATGGAAGATTGTGTTCTGTGTTTATATAGCAGTATGAGCAGTAGGTGTGTAAGTTGGTCAGTTCAAATTGGAAAAATGCGATTAGCTCCTGATAAACAAATGAATCTTTAGTTTTCAGTTTAGTTAAATTCGAGTTAGTAGTACTTCATGTGTTGAGAATAGATGTACTTAATCCAAAGTTGCTAGTGGCTCGGATTCAGTGGCTTTTACTCGCAGCGTGTGAGCTCAAAATCTCGTTGATTTAAGTACAGATGTTTCTAAAGTATGAAATTAATTTGAATATCATTGCATTTTATCTCTTTAAATGACCAAGACATTACTTGTGTTATTTTTTCTCTTAGAAAAACTCAACTGATTTACAGAGGTGCGTTGTGTTTTCACTAAAAAGCAAAATTTTAGTAAAATCTGTTACTTTTTCAAGATAGAAAATTAATCAAGCGAGTGAAGTGCGTCATTTACCGTATTGTGACAGTCTTATAGATAATGGCCGTATGCTTTTGTAACGAGAAAAATATTAATCAATAAACTGATTTTTATTTCGTGCCGACACACCATAATTTGAAAGGACCAAAATTAAGTAGAAATTTCCAAAGATTAATACAGTATTTTTTATAAAAATAGTTTGATTTGTTACGTATATTTTTGAAGCTGTTATTGCTGTATCTTAGTACAGCCCATGTTGGAAAACATATTTCAAACTCAAAAATCTTAAAAACTACTACCGATACATTACTTTAAAAATTTTCCATAGCAAAAAAACTTCATGTATAACATAGTTCAAATTTAGGAAAATTTGATTTGATAGTGGCAATGGATTTTCTACCTTAAATTTAAAAAAAAAATTTTCTAAAAATCGAATCCCTCATAACAATACAGAGATATATTATACCAAAATAGTGCCATAGTTTATAATTTTCCCAAATCGACCAAGTATTGCATCTTTAGTCTTCATCATGCAAAGTAAAAATAATTTGACCTTATTCATTTAAAAAATTTTTTTACTAATATTTTAAAATCATATACTCAACTACCAATAAAAAGACTTTATAATGTACATGGTACAACTGATTGAAAAATTAAGTTAAAATTTTTTTCACCATATCGTAAAAATACGTTTTTCAAAAATAAAAAAACTATTGTAATATCTTTTATAAGGTACAAAAGTACAGTTATGTTTATGAATTCTTGTAAAAGTAAAATAACAAAAACTTATAACCCCTGATGATTAAAATCAGTAAGAACGTTTCTAAAATTAAATGGATTTACTCTCTCTCTCTCTCTCTCTATCATACACACAAACACACACACGCACTTATTTAATTATTTTTTCAGTATGATTTATTTTGCTCGGCTACAATAAAAAAAAACTTTTTATAGTGTTTTTAAGAAAACTTTATTTTAGATCAACGTAAAACCTTGTATTGACCTAATTACGAAAGTATAACAGAAATGTAACATAAATTTTTAAATAAAAGCAGGAGAGTAGAGTTTGATAAAGCGATATGCCAATCAATTAGCAGTGGTGTCTAAATATTTTGAATGAAGGAGCTATTCTTTATTTTCTCCTTCCGCATTTTTTCCTTTTAAATTAATTCCTTTTTCCTTAAGACATTTGACAAGAGCTGGACCAACTTCACAGTCAGATACTTTGTTGGCTACAACAAAATTAAAATCAAGTGAATTTTAAAAAAATTGTCCAAATTCACCTAGTCATAAAGTTAGTAACTTATAATTAAAGATAACGGTGGATATTCTTGTTAAAAGTGTTAGCAATACCTTGAGATTTGATCACAGTTATGAAGTAGCTTATCAAAAATTAACTCAAACAACTAAATTAAATTATTTATATTTTTTTTACCTTCTTCAGCACAACCCTTCACAATTTCTTTCTTAGCATTATCTAACTCCTGCTTTTTAGAGAGTTTTTCAATCAATTTTTCAGCATCAACTTTGCCGTCGACAATCTAAAAATATACAACATAACAATATTGAAAGATTTGATACTGTAAGAATAAGTTATTTGACACATACCATTCCGAACTTTTTGCCCATACAAGTGATGAAGCATTTAACTTTGGGATCTTCTAAATTTGGTTTCTGTCCTTTTTTTATTTCTATAATCAAAAAATATGATTTTTTGCAACAGAGTTAAATTACATTACACACTCCTAAACGTTTGTATAAATGAAGTATACCATCTGTTATTCCAGCTTCGGCCTTGCACTCTTTAAATGCTTCATGTTTAGCTTCACATGACAAGCAAATCTGTAAAAATAATTTGTTTAGTTGAAGTTATTTTGTAAATTATAAATTACTTGCTTACATAAATTATTTGTATTTTAACTATTTTACTTTTATTTCACCATTAAACTTCGTTGTCTCGTTTTAATAGAAAAACAACGACTGATTGTTAAAATTTGTCAACTAAAAAACGATAAAATAGTGGAAAAAAATTGACTCTTTTTGACAGGTGCTTAAACCTTCATATTTTCTCACTGGGAGGTGCGTTGCTATTAATTTTACCACTGAAGCCATGGCGAACATTGGTCTTTTTTGCCTTAATAAGTTATATCTTAGCTATACCACCGAAATATATTCCAGGGTGTTTTCAGTTACAGGTTATATAAATACATTTAACACTTTGTATTTGGGCTACTGATTTTAAATTATGTTTTAAAAGTTTTCATAGCGTTTTATTTATTGGTTTCTAATAGACATGTTATAATGCCCAGTCATATTTTCACTATTACTTAAAACATGCTGATAAAATTTGATGGCTAGCCTAAATGTGAAGTAACTTAGTTATCAGTAAGTTTAATAGAAGATGCGGAAGAATATTGAATGCAATACACAATTTGATTGCTTGTAATAAGACAGTTAGAAATACAAAAAAAAAAAAAAATTGGAAATCGCAAGTGATCGGTTTTTATGAAAGAATATAAAAATTATAAAAAGAGTTTTGTTCGTGAAATTTCGTATATTATTCTTGTAAAAGTTAACTTACTGCTACGAGGAGAATGGCAAAACTGCAAACGAAAGCCTTCATTTTTCTCAAAATTTACTACGGTGGTAGACGTTAAACGTATCTTCGAGAAATGTTATGAGTGTTGCAGCTGGTTTTGAATTTATACTATAAAATGTTTACGTTATCACAAAATCGGATGGGTAATTTCGCTGTTATGAATGCTGACATTTTTTACTACAATATAAGGAAGTGTTAGTTATGTCAAAATTTTACAAGCTAACATTTCCTGAAAAAGCAACTGACTATAATCAGATATCGTTTCAATTGTTGTAAAGAACAATACTTCATACATATATTTATATATAGACTATGTAAAACACGAATCGATTTTTTCTTAAGTATTGCGTGATGGATATCTTTTATGATGTATAACTTGTTTATTCTAACATTATCAGTTACAAATTATCAGTTTCAAATTTATGATTAACAATAATTTCATGTTAATTGTTATTTTAATAACAATAAAAATTGAATAAACGAGACTTCTTGATACAAAAACATTTTTTGCTGTGGTATATTTTAAGTCAGATTTTTTTCCGACAATCAACCATTTGACATGCTGGAGTGGATTGAAACAATGTAGTTGTAAATCTTGGGAATCAGAACATTCAGCCATAAGTTATTCGTCGCTTAGTCGCTCAAGTTTTTCTAACGAATTCGATGCATAATGTGATTGTCAAACAAGTACACTAAGGTCTCAAGTTTTCTGTATCCTAATCCTTGAACACTAGCTCCCTACAGTTAACTTGAGAAATAGTGTGATTGAGAACTTAGTGGTACATTGAATGGAGTACATCTGTTTGACTAATTTATATTTAAACATTCTTCTCCTATCCCCAGTGTTTTCTTAAATTTTGATTTCTGCACTCCCATTATCATAAATTTATTCCCATTCACACGCAAAATTGGTATCATTAGTGGTATCCTACCACCTCATTTCTTCCCCTGCCTCTGTAGCACTGTGTGTACATATATGTGCATTCCAGCGCGAAGCTTGTCAATCTACCTTCAAGTGCTCGTCTGTGCTTTACAAGCTTCTACTTCTGCTCTACCTCTCTCTCTCTCATTTCCTCTTCTTCTGTTTCTAATGTATATGGGCAAGGTACTAATGTCAATATACATAACTTACTCCAAGTGTGTTTGAGTTTGACGACTGGCTTCGGAATTGAAGTAGTTGACTTGACTCTTTGCAAATATTGGAAAGACGAGGAGGCTTAAAAGGAACGTTGCAACCCCGTGTTTCTCCTGTTTCTCATGTCTAATTTTATTGTAGTTTTTACCTTTGTAAGATAACAACAAATTGTACGTACGGCATCTGCGAAGAATTGACGTATCTTTCAGTACGGACGAGATGAATTGAGAGACAACAAAATTTTCAAAACTCGATCACCCTTCCTATAGTATATAATACATCCTATCGCAGTAACTCGCAGTAGTCGTTAAGCCAGTAAACATCGCGTTCTTCTTGTTTTATCGTCTCCCGATCCGTTCTCGAATGCTCATCCTACATTAGCCATCAATACGCCACTCGGGCAAAATTGCGCGTAAACAAAGACCCCCAAAACGGCAGTTGGGTGCTGCTGTCGGTGACGCTCGAGGAATAAAAGAAAATTTACCGTCCGGGGGGGTCGTGGGAGGGGTATCATCGGTTTCGGCGCCCTGCAATTGAAATTCTCGCACAGCAGCCTAGGGAGTGCGAGGGAGGCCTATTAGCGGCAGCAGTAACTGGATCCATCGCGCTGGTTTCGCGAAGCCACGTGCTGCCTATATGCTTGCCGGGGAAGTTCCATTAAAACCTATTAGCCATTAAAACGTCGAAATATTTCATGGGCAACGACAGGGCTGGCTGTGAGCGTTAGATATATCGACGCGCGTTAGGGGCACACGTTTACGGGATTTCGTGTGTACCTAGTACCAAGTGGTTGTTGCAGAGCCCGGGCTCACTTGGAAGACAAGTATGCTCCACTCGACCTTTACGAGCTTTTCTTGATTTGTGAAGCTGTGGCTAGGAGGGGGGGGGGAGGCATTTATTTCCTCATTGTGCTCGAGAATCTGTATGGGGCCATTGGAAAACGAGTGTGTGGAACAATTGTGTCTGGCAGATTATTGTAAATACTCGGGTGAACACACAAGCGTTTCTATTATTCGTCACATAGTCAGCCATAAGTGTATATCTGGTCCATTTTGTCGAAAAAATAATTATTAGGATGCATTCGGATTCAAGCCGAGTATATATTATTTGCTCAGGGTACTAGAACAGTATCTGAGGAATTCCATGCTGTCATTTTATTTTATTTAGATTTGTAGAGTAATATATTTGTTTACTAATACAGTCGTGGTAGAAGTTGAAATGTTGGATAACTTACACAGTCAATTTGACTCTTGTACCGAGAATCATGTGAAATACTTAAAAAGAGTTTGAAAAATCTACAGCTCTTGGGTTTCTTAGCTTTAGCTATACTTTGGGTTGTTGTTAACTATTGTTTTCTCCATAGAAATACGTTTTATCTTAAATACCTGAAAATGCAATCAACATAGTTAAGATCTGTTAACTTTTCTTTCGATTTTTTATTGCAGTAAAAATCATTGTACTGCTTTTGAAAAGTACTTAAAAAAATATCTTAATAGGATATTTTTACGAAAGGAAGTAACATAAAAATATTTTGTACAAATAATTCCTGTTAGGCCTATTAAAATTTTGTTAACAATCAACAAGGAAAAACTTTTTCATAACATATTTTTAATCCAAACTTTATTTTGGACACACATAGAGCCTTCTCCAATCTGTTGAATAATACACTAAGTTAGTAGAGCGACGTAATAGGTAATCATCTGGATATTCTTGTTATCATTAAATGACTAATGACTGATAAAAGTCTTTGAGAAAAAACTTTAAGAATCTTTAAAAAGTTTTTAATATTTCAGGGACATCGTACAGAGGAAAAGGGTTGTAGCTATAGTCACGACAGATTCTTCCGTCATGCTTTAGCCAAAATTTAGATTATCAGTACAATGATACTTTTAGATACTGTCGTGCATAATAAGTTGTACTTTTGTTTGACGAAAATAGACTTCACTGCCAAAGAGCAACGAGTGCACGGAATTCTATTGACAAAATCACCCAGGGTCGGCAAATCCAATCGTGACCACCTCGGGCGACGCATGAAAATTCAATGCTTTCAATAAACCCCGCCAACCTTTCTAAAACTAAAATATTCAGCAGGAGCCGGCCGGCCCTGAATTTTTCAGCGGCCATGATTTTCATTTCGTTCCGGTAACCGGTTCCCTTCGCTCCTCTCTGCAATGCCCCGTCCAAAAGAAAGCCCGGATCCTCAACCCCGCGCGGCGCCCTTGCACCCTTCCTTCTTTGTTCCCTTATCTCGACCGTTCCTTCCGCTACTCCGCGTGTCCAACAAAACAGCTTACGCTCGCCCCTCCCCTAAAAAGTGTCAGCGCAATCCCGCGTCCACCCACTGTATAGTTTTTCGCGCGTCCACGCAACACTGGGGGGGCTAATCCCTCCCTAGCTGCCAAACAGGGACGGGGGTGGGTTAACTTATGTATCGTGGCAGCTGAATTATTTATCACAGCTTTGGCGACGCGACGCTCCACGGATAGGTGCTCCTGGACACTCGGTGGTCGCTTTCTGCATTTTTCACGCATTTGTGTACATGTATGCGTGTACGTGGATGGGCGTGGGGGCGCGCGCGCCCTCGGGGAGGGATAACGAAAGCGCCGGATGAAATATAAATCACCGGCGGCGTTCTCTGAACGACTCATTTGCCGACGCGAAACATCCCTCCTGGCCCGTGTCCTATATGTATACCCTCTTTTTCTCCGGGCGTCATCACAGTCGTCCGTCCGAGATCCTTAATTCTTTGTGCGTGGCCGAGGGCTCGCTCGAGGGGGGTTGGACACTGCGTGATTTACGCGGTCATGGCTGGATGTATTTCGAGTATTTTTGCCGGTGGCCGAAGAGGAGGGACGTTAAGAGGGCGGGTGTCCTTCCCTATTTCTTTTTTTTCTCTTGCTTGAAAAAAAAGAGAGGGAGAAAGAGAGGGAGTACAATTCAGAGCTTTATAGGTACTGGGCATTCTGGGGTAACTTAGTCGCACGAAAAATTGCCAGAATGGCATGTCATTGAATCTTACAGCGACTGCGGCGTTCCGTTGTGAGCTTTGATAAAGTGAGGTTTGCTTGCTCGTTGGATCTTTGATTTGACTGGATATTTTTTTTTCCATGATGACAGTTATTTATCCACAGAAGTCTCTTTTACGAAGTTATCTTCATACCTATCCTCATGTTTTTTTTGTTTTGTTTTTTTTTGCCAGACTATATGAAATCAAAAGTCCTTAGTCTCAAATAGATTAAATTTAATTCAATTCCATACCTTAACGAATACCTTTTATCTTTGCTTGCACGTGCGTAGTGTAGTTTTGTATTTAACTTGCACTATTCACTGTTCCGTTGAGAGCAAGAGAGTTAGATAAAAGTAAACAATAGTCGGTCTGTCGAACAAGACACAACTTTATAAGCTTTTTGCTATAGAAGGGTATAAAGCTTCAAACCTTTTCGGGTGTGAAGCTCCGAAATTCCTCCGAACTGTATTACTTTAGTACTTCTGGAATTTCCTACATCATGCTTGTATTAAATTGTTGCTTGTGTCTCTTATTTATTGATAAGACTCCCAAGCAAGAGTCTGTACTCCCACAGTTACGTTAGAAGTTCTGCTGACTTTTACCATGGCATTAATTTTTAACAATACTAGGTGTAGGACATTGTTTTTTGAGCAATGGATTAAGGTTAGCTTCAGATTCTTCATTCAATATATACATACATCACACATTACATTTGAACCTCACCATCCTAATCATATATTTGAATTGTTTGAACAATTTAACATTTATTCTTAAGGTATGATAAAAGAACTGTTGTTTAAGTAAAATTTCAGTAGGGGTCAACAATAAAAAGTGAGACAAAAAGCCATGTCAACATTCAACGATTCCCAACATTGTAATATCTGTTTTCTTTCAAACTTTATTTTACTGATTACCACACTTCTTTCT